CGCGACTTGGGGACCCTGCCGAGGGGCAGGGGGGGACAGCTCGGACCCCCAAAGCCTCCTGAAAAGGGATGGAGAGAGAGAAGGAAAACAATAATAATAATAATAATTAAAAAAATCAGCACCCCCAAAGCAGCAACAACAACAAAGCCCACAACAAACAAGGAAATTCTTTGCAGCTGTGGAAACCTGGCTGTTCTTGTGTTGGAGTGGGATTTGTGTCTGTGTCCCCCCCACTCCCCAGCCCGCATCATCCCCCAGGCAGCTGATGGTGCGTGTTATTTCGGGGCACCTCTGGGCAGCCCGGGGTGCAGGAGCCAGCGGATAAAGTCCTTCCTCTTGTGCAAGCCAAAGTTTGGGGGGTAGAGAGGGGGTAGCCTCCAGAATACGAGGCTTTGGGAACGTTTCTGCAGTTTCTCAGATGTGGTGGGTTTGGGGAAAAAGCAATGGGGAGACCCTAAAACCTCCCTTCTTCCTCCCTCCCTATGTCCGGGGAGCAGCGCAGCCACCTTGCAAAAGGGATGAGAGCAAATAGATTTCTTCCTGGCTCTTGGCTTCTATTTTTTTTTTTTTTTTAGGCTTTTCCCCCCATGCACTTTCATTTTAACTTCTTAGAAATGCTGGGCCTGGTTTATGGTTCTGTCCGGGAGCAGGAGTCAGCCTGAACAGATTTAAAATCTTCTAGGGAGCAAGAGAAAAGCCTAAAGAGATTAGTCCTAAACTGGAAAAAGCTGTAGCAGTATGCATAGGAAATGACTGTCGGCGTATCTGAGCCCGAATACTGCTGGGCTATCAGTTGTGCTGGACAGACCGTCCAGAAATGACAGGTTGGGAAATATGTCCCCGTGTTTCAGCAAGGTCCCGGGACTTAACATTTTAATGTTACTCTGAGTCAGAATATGCCTTCTCTGTTTTTTGGTTGGTGGTTTGGTTTTTTTTTTTTAGTGTCGCTGTTTTGTTTTAGCTGGCAATTAGATGGACAGGTTTTAAACACAACATGTTTCTGGCAGAAAGGAGATCATAACAACCCAGGGAACTCTTAAAAGTTGGAGACGGCCGTGCTGCCGTGTGCTGTTGAACAGCTGCTGTATTTCACTCCAGAAGCAGCTGTTTTTCAGGGCTCAGGCACTGAGGTCCCTCTATAGGTGCTTAAATTTCTAGCGTGTTTTGGGGGCTCTTAGAGATGAAAGTGCCTTATGTAAACAGCATCATTAGTTTTCATAGCTTGTGTAGCCCTGCCTTTTTGTGTGTTTTTGTTTTTTAATCTTCTGGTTTTGGCTGTGTCTTCAGGCAAAGTAGGGATGAAAGCCTTTTGGTTGTTAGTCTGGCCTTTAGGATAAAATATAGCCCGGGCCCGATCCTGCATTCCAGGCATTCCCCAAAATCCACTTGGCTGCTCTGCAAGTTTTGAGAGTGCACAGAAAGCAGATCTGGCCCGTAATGTCCCTGGATCTGTTTGCCTCTGACAGTCTCCTCTCTTCTTAAAATTACTCTGGTTACACCGAGTGACATTGCTCCTTGTCAAAAGAGATGGGGAAATAACTGTGCTGGCTGTTTTCTGCTGAGGGACGTCACTCACAGCAGTTGCTAGGAGTTTGTTGGATTTTTCTCCCCCTCCTTTCAGCCCTTATTCAAATTAGGGTATAGTTCTATTCCCAGTGGATTATATGGATATTTTGATATGTGGCCCTCTCGTTCTCGCAGCCATTTAAAGAACACTTAAAGTTTTTGGTTTTGTTTTTGGTTTGTTTTTTTTTTTTTTAAAAAAAAAAAGAACCTTACCAACGGCTTTTGGTGCAGGCTCTTTCCCCGCACACACAGAGCACGCCAGCTTTTCTTAGAAAAAAACCACGTTGCAGTCCAGATTTCACTCATAGCACCATTCTTCAGAAGTTCAAGCTGGAACAATGCAGACATAGAGGGGAAGATCAGAAATGATCTGAGGGCAAGTTTTCCTTTCTGCCCCACGCTTCACAGGGCAGTCACCAGGTTTTGGTGCAAGATAGAAGCAAGGTGCTTGGGTGAATTCTTACTGGAAGCCAGTACAAACTTCTCAGAAGCAGATTGAGTTTTCTGCTTCAAAACTGGGAATAGCTCAGCTCTGGGACTTCTGCTGGAGGAACTTTCCCTCAGCAGAGATTTAAAAAAAAAAACCAACAAAAAACTCCTGTGTGTTAGAAATAGTTCATCACTTCTGACTCTTCACTTTTACTATAAGAAATGATTATAGGCTAAGGTCACAAAACAGAGCCACTAACCTCTGTTTGAACTTCCTCGTGTTCAGCACATGTGGGTATTTCATTATCGGTTCAGAGGCATAGCTGACTGACAGGCCATGCATACCAGGAAAATGTGCAATCTTGCTTTTAAGTCTTTCTTTCAACCTGTCCCTGCTTCCTCCATGTGCGTATGAAGGAGGAAGCTGTATCTTTAAGAAATATGGTTTTTCCTCCTTCTGTTTCCTGTGCAATATTAATAGTCGCTGCCAACGGGATGGAGCTGTTTGAGGGTGTTGTGTAAAATATCTCTGCGTTCGCTGCAGCACTGAGTACACAGACGCCTTTCTCCGGAGAAGGCAGAGACAGGGCAAATTTTGGAGATCAGGCAGCAAGGATGCTCTGCAATAGCTGTAACAGCCATCCCCTTCCCTGCACAAAACTGGGAGCTATTGACTATTCATGGCAAAGCGTCCAAAGCGCAGCGGCAGAGCCTGTGGAAAATGACAGCGTGTAACAAGATTGACTGGCATTTCCTTCGCGCTGGGTCACATGCCTCCTAATTCACACACTCACAAAACCTCATAGGCTGATCAAATGACTTCTATCTCTGCAGTCCACATACCTTCCACAGAAAGAGTTGTTTTATTATGCACATACACAGCTCTGTTTTCAATCAGTCACCTTGAGCGAATGACTGAGGGCCAGTGTTCGCTCCCTCCGGAGGTCTCTGCGTTTGCTCTCTAAGAGGCATAGTCTCCATCCGTAAGCAATTTATTTTTTTTTCCTCTGGGGGAGGGGGAAAAAAAAAAAAGAAGAAAACAAATAGACAGATGTCCCCCCCTGCCTTCCCTTCCCCAGAAACCTTTCTAGGAAGTGTGCTTGGCTTAACTTGGAAAGCGTGGGACGGTCACTGCTGTCAGCAAGCGTTACGGTGGTCTGTGCTAGGAAGGATGGATTTTTGCCTTTGTGCCTCCGTGGGGCTGCAGTGGGATTATGGCACATGTGAGCAGGGGCTTGTGGATGCTGCCCGCTCGCTGCCTCGACACGGGAGGACACGGGGAGCACGGCTGCCCGCTGTGGGTCCCGGCAGATGGAGATGGTGGGGGTCCGTACGAGCCCTCCCAGTTTAGCAACTGGGGGGGAGGGGGGGGTTCACATCAGCTCAACCTCCGTACCCAGAGAGAGGGGAGTATGGAGCGAGGAGGTGAAACCAGCCACCAGCTGGCTTGCCAGGACATGGTAATTAGCTCAGCGCAGTGCCAGCCTTATTAAGGGCAGTGCAGGTGATGATGACGTTGGCACACTGATTCATTACATCTGGAGGGGGAAAATCCGCCTAGTAAATGCTGAAGCACAGTAAATATTTTTGGCTCCTGACAGATTGATCCTTGCATTATGCTGATTAGCCTATATTTGTGGAACCGAGGAAGTTAAAAATAAGGTTGGTGGAAAGCTACAAGATAAGGAAAGGATTTGCATTTTATGGCCACCAGCAATAAACTTCTTTTTTTATTTGGCTTTTTTTGGGTGGTAAAAATTTCAATACTTTATTTTTTTCCTCCCCATTCCCTTCTTTGGCTCTAGGTTTCACGGTTAGGTGAAAGCCCGTAATTTATTTTCTCTTGTCAGTAATATTCTGGAAGGGGGCTGTAAATCTAGAGCACACACAGTTGGGAAATGATTTCTGAAAGAATTCTTTTGCAAATACGTGGTGCAATCCTGCAAAATGCTCCGGCCCTGACAGTCCTTAGGGGGTGGTACAGACCTATCAAAGCGTGTAGCAGCATGTGTGCTCAGTGAGACTGGATGCTTTGGACTTTCCTGCGAGCTGGAGGGCTTTATGAGCTTTAGTTCATGGAGATAAATGATTAAACCGACTTCTAACTGTTGCTGTTTTGTTTTCCTACACTCAGGCTCTCACCTGAACTTTCACCGCCTGGTATATGCTGTTGGGATATCCATAACAGATCGCCCAGGAATGGTGGATCACTTGGTGCCTACTGATGAATCCTTTTCATCTACAAGATCTTCTCTTGGATACTTTGGGGACATGACAGCAGGGGTGAGGTCCTACCAAATGCTGCCCTCTCCCCTCTCAGAAGATGACAGCGACTCGTCCAGCTTTTGTTCTTGTTCCAGCCCTGACTCCCAGGTTCTCAGCTCCAGCTATGGAAGCACGTCCAGTGCGGAAAGTCAGGACAGTATCTTAGACTACTTATTGTCCCAGGCATCTTTGGGGAACACTGCTGCATCATGGTGGGACAAAAGGAGACTTCAGCCGATAGTGAAAGAGGAGTACTTTAGATTGCCTGAATTTGCTGTGGATATGGAAGACTCAGGACCATTTCAGCCCACGCTTGAGGAAATTGAGGAATTTCTGGAGGAGAACATGCAGTTGGAGCTCAAAGAAAGACCTAAAAGTGAGACCAAGGACTTGAGAGCTTGCAGTCAAGTTTCTGTTGCTTCACTACAGCAAAAAGACCATATGTTGCCCAGCGCTAGTTTAAAAGAGAGTAAAAATGAACAGTTGAGCAGCTCAACGGAAGGTGGCCAAGCTTCAAATGGAGGAATGTCCCTGGAGAATGGGATACCGGTTATGCTCCAAATTCAGCCTGTACAGATCAAACAGGAGTCCAACACGAGCCCCAGTTCCCAGGGACCAGCACAAGAGAACATTAAAATTGCACAGCTCTTAGTCAACATCCAAGGACAGACATTTGCCCTTGTGCCTCAGATAGTTCAGTCATCCAATTTGAACTTGTCCTCTAAATTTGTCCGCATTGCTCCCGTCCCCATCGCCGCCAAGCCAATTGGGCCAGGAGGCATGATGCAGGGTCAGACGGGAATCATCATGGGTCAGAAATTTCAAAAGAACCCTGCAGCAGAACTCATTAAAATGCACAAGTGTTCTTTTCCTGGTTGTACCAAGATGTACACGAAAAGCAGCCATTTGAAAGCCCACCTGAGGAGGCATACAGGAGAAAAGCCTTTTGCGTGCACGTGGCCGGGTTGCGGATGGAGGTTAGTATTGGGGGGCAGCGTTGTCAAATCCCCCTTCCACTTCTTGCTCGCTTGACCTCACTTGCCGAGCAAGTAGGTTTGCACTCTGATTTATAAACTGTTTCTGTTCCCAAAACTTGCTCGGTTGGTTTGAGAATTAAGACCCTTTTCTTCCTGTTAGGTAATCCAGGGGCTTTGATAAATTAAATAGTAGAGCATCACCTGCCGGCATCAGCTGTTTAAGTGTCTTAAAAAAATAAAAGTAGTCCATCATAATTTGTGTTTCGTTCCAAGAGGGTCAGATTAAGCTTGTTACCACGGGCAATACCTTGTGTTCCCTTCGGTCTGGTTGCAACAGACCAGCTGCAGCAGATGCTCGGCTGGTACCAGCTGGGGGCTGTCAGTGAACTGGGTGGTTTAGGGCAGAATCACTGTGCGTGGCTCCAAGTGCACAGGGCTGGATGTCGTCACTGAAGGGCTGTGGTAAGCAAAAGTGGTTAAGAAAAGCAGTATTCTGTGCAGTTTTGTAGAAAATGCACTCCATCCCACTCCTTTTGGAAATGCTGGCAGTGACGCTCTGGCATGCGTTGGGTTTTATTCTCTGCATTGATTCAGAAAAATGCGTGGGTGCCACTCGAAGTTGCAAAAAGCTGTCAGATGTAACACCATCCCCAGAAGGCTGAGGTGGAGTTAAGCATTGCTTGAATGGAAGATTGCAGGTTTGATTGAGCAAAACGTTACACAGAGGGTATCGCTTGATTTTTCTTTTTTCTCTTTTTTTTTTTTTGTTATTTTTTTAAAGCTAGATGAAAAATTGAAATGTTGTTAAAAAAAAATCAACTTTTTATTTTAAGGAAACTGACAGAAGCCTTCCTCTGTCTTTCCAATTAGCTGTATTACTAGCCTGCCTGCTGGCAAGTGTTAATATACAGCACCACAAAATATGATAGGAGGAAACAAAATCTTAACTCCCTTGTATTAAATTAAACCAGATTTCTTTCAAAGAATATCCTGCAGAGCTTCAGTGAGCAATGTCTAATGAGGGAATGGGTTGTGACCATGAGGAACAGACGAGGTAAAAAGTAACAGGAGAGGGTTGTGTAAAAATGCAAATATGTGAGACACGCAGCAGTTAGAGATGGCTGGATTGGTTTGAGGGAAAAGGTCAGAATGGGGCTGAATCCTCTGCTCCCCAACTGGACCAGTTTGAAATTTGCCTCTCGGCGGGATGGAGGAGATCAATGCAATTTGGTGATTTTCTTTCCTGTTTCAGTTTATGGTGGCTCTACAAACTGGTGGTGATTTTTCTTTCCTTTTGTGCTGGTGGCACTTCTCAGTGGCTTGCTGCTCAGGATGCACGAAAATTAAAGCCATATTGTTTAGCTGACTGGTCCCATAAGCCGCAGGCTGGTTTGCTCCTGACCAGCAGCAGAGGCACTCACTCCTTCTCATTTGGTTGCCAGAGTACATGTGCGCAGGGAGCAGATGTGCCTCCTGCCTGTGAACGTGCCTGTGGGTGTCGTGTTGGCTTTCCTTGCGCTGGGATGGGAGCGAAGCTCTCATTTTTTTGACAAATGCATGTGGCAGGTGAGGGTTTGTCTGATCCACGCTGAGATTTATACCACTGTTCCCTGTGACTTGTGTGGCTCAAGATCAGGAGCCTGAAGTGTTGCCTGTGGGTGACCTTCTCCTGCCTGTCTTATTACAGAGCTGGTGTTTCCCAGGGTGCAAAACCATAGGGGACATTTAGAAAAAATATTAAGTGGTAAGGGATGGAGATTGAATTTACACCGGGAGCTGTAAATGCCTTCTTCCAGTGTTACAGAGGATGGTGTGGATCAAAAGCAGGATGCAGGTGTAAGGTGGGCCAAGAGAAGGGCAAGTCCCGCAACCGGGAGCACCCTGAACTTTCACTCTCAGCCAGCCACAACTTTTTAAAGGTGAGGAGCCCAGCAGGGGTGAGAAATTGATCACCTTAGCTATGAGGAATGTGTGTCCTGTCCACAAACAGCTGCTGGAAGGGCTTTTCAAACTCCCTGTTGCTGGTTGTCTTGTTGCATTTCACAGCTCACGCTGGTACCCCAGTCCCCAACACCCCAAAACTTTGGCAGGGCTCTGCTCCGAGGGGGAAAGTTTGTAGCCAGCAGGAGAGGCAGCGCTTGAGGAGCTGCTCCCTGCACTCCCAGCAATCCTTAGCACCATCCGGAGATCCCTGCACATCCCCTGCGCGCTGCTCCCACATCAAAGGCCAGACCCAATTGAGCACGGAATTACTCAGTCCCCTTTCATCAATAAAGCATGTTTACCTTTTCCAGAAGCTCAGCGAGAGCTGTGATCTCACATGACTTAAGTCAAACGCATCTGGACTCTCTGTTTGCTCCCGGTTTTATATTATCTCAAATTTAAGCGCTAAAATACTGCTGGGCTCTGCTTTCCCCCTCCTTTGCCTGCATTCTTGTGCTTGCGTATTTATTTTTTCACCAAAGACACTTAAGATCTGACCTCACCGAAGATAGTAATTTCAAAAACAAAACAAAGTGTTGCCTAGCACAAAGTGGCTGAGCGGTAGGGGGGTTCAAGCTTTCCCAGCTCCCTGGGTAGTCCTGCTATGGATAAGTTTCATGCACCAAGGTAGGGGTGCACACACAGCAGACCCCTGGGACAGGCTGGGGAGCCCCAGGCACCTCCCTGGAGGAGGCTGAACCTTGCTTGTGCTCTTCCTTGGCACAGGGCGAGAGCTGTTTTTCGGCAGGCAGCAGAGAGGCCTTCATAAGCGGCCGGTGACCCGTTGCGTCCAGTAGCCCGCTGTACCGGTCGGCGCGCTGGTCCGTGTCCTACCAGCCTGTACCTTTGGCACAGGGCAGCCTCTGGTTAGCCCTGCTCCTGTGACAGCCCCACCAAAAAGCAGGGCGGGCTGGTCCCCAGCAGCCGTGGAGCAGGAGAAGCTCTGGCTTTCCCCTGCCCTGTGCAGCAGCGTACAAAGCTGCGGGTGTTGTAGGGCCTGGGGGATTAGGCAATGGCGTTCAAATGCCCTGCCACAGCGCTGGGCTGGAGGCACTTCCCTGCAGCTGGCTCTGCAGGTGACACCTGGTGTGGTGGGGAGGGTTTAAAGGCTTGTGGTGCATGGGACAGGGGGGGAGCGTGGGGAGGACCACACGTGGGATGCGTCAGGGCGGGCATCCCGCAATCACCTGTTTCGCCGGTGCTGTGTGAAGGAGTTTGCAGGTTTGCTGGAGGAGCGCTGGTTCACTGTAGCTGTGCTTTGGAGATGGGCAAGATGAGTCCAAAGCCTGCCCTCCACAGCAGAGGAGAGGTACAGCCTGGGTCAGTCTCAGTGGCTGGTGGCCATGGTAGGGACCATGGAGTAGTAGGCTGAAACTATTGACCTTTTTTGCCCATTGAGCCACATAGCGATGTCCTCGTTTGGCCAGGAGGCACAGGACACATCCTACACATCGAGGGAGCTCTAGGATTTGTCTCCAAGTGAGATGTAGTTACAGTTCCTTTCGGGTCCTACTAGACAGAGTGATGAAGGATACTCTTCTAGTTGCTGTGAGATTAACCATATCCCTTCTCCTTTCTTTTGAAGGAGGAATCTTTCTGGAAATGGCAGTGACTTGGGATAGTGAGGTGTTCCTCGGGGGTCCCTTGTGTTTGCTTGAATTTGGCATTCCACTGGGGATTATTTGCAGTTTTCTTGGGGTGATCTTAGTGCCAGAACGTGCTGCAAATATCATTTCACTGCAGAGCCAGGCCACCAGATCCTCCCGGCTTCCTTGTCCTAACCTTTGCGTTGTTTTTTTGTAAACACACCGACAGCTCGAGGTTTATTTCTGTGGGCTCTGTAAGCTGATCTTCCTGTGACTGCTGGGGAACAGTGTTGCAACATTCCCGCCTCTTCAGCTAAGGACATCGTTATGAGGCAGGGTGTATTTTTGTCGGATGAACTCACCCGAGTTCCCGGGGTATGAGAGGAGCTGCTCATTTCTGATATGCACCTCTTTCTCCCTCACCATCCATGCAATCTCCACTGAAATGCACTCGCGGAGCTCTTAAGAGTGCAGGATTAGCCATGTGCATGCTGCACTTCTGTTGCAGATGGTGACCTTAATGGCCAAGGACATGGGACAAGGCAACCCAGCCACATCTGCTTTTACTCCTTCTCTGAGTGATAAGCCTGTATGTAAGAGGACAGCTCTTTGCAAAGGTGCTTTTCCTTCTCTGCTCCCTCTTTTCCCTGGTTGCCACCACTGGCAACAGGTCCATTCCTTGTCTGGCGCTGTGTCCCACTGAGGCAGTCTGCACAGACAGTATCCTGCCTTCTCCAGAATGGTGCTTAGTCCCACTCATCTGTAACAATACAAGAACATCCCTCCAGGGACGTCGCACTGGGACTAGCTCACTGCTAAGGACTTGGGAGAAATCCCTGGCTCTGCTGCTCCCTGGTCTGGACTGTGGTTTTGGGAAGCCATGACTGGAGGGACCCGTGTTGCTAGAGAAAGCAGATATGTAGATACTAGGGACAAAGAGAAAGCCCTGTCACAGCCTTAATGAAGGAGATGTGTCCCAGGCAAGGAACAGGTTGATGGCTCCATTAAGACATCTGCCTGTTGTTCTTAATGGTGAATTTGACTCTTTGACCATGAGGATACAAAAGCAAGGCAGGAAAGCAAGAGAATGGATGAAGGAGCATCCATTAGAAATGCTCCTGGAAGACGTGTCCACAACGTACCTTACCCATGGCGAGTATCTGCATCTGCTTTGCGATGGCTGCAGAACGCTCTCTGGGTAGCATCGCTGAAGGGCTGCAGAACTGTGGAAACCATTCCCAGCTTTCCCAATGCCTGCACCCTGTTCCTCAACTGATGATGGGAGATCAGAGCTAATTAAAACCTTTTTGTGGAAACTTATTTTTCTTGCATGAAGGACTTACTCGTAGGAGCCCAGCGGTCCTATTTTCCCCCTTTCATAAAAATAGTGTATTCACTGTGTTGGTGATGTGATATTTTGCTCCAGAAGGACGCATTTTTCTACATGTTCTTTCCCCCATTTATCCAGCTAATGCCCATGACTTCATTTATTTATTGTAAATAAACAGCTGATACCGTTTCTTGCAGGCTCTCTTTCTGTGCCGCTCTTTGTTACTGCTCTGGCAACAAAACACTTAATTGCCCTTTGTCAGGCAGCAAATTTTTTGTACCCATCTGGATGGGGCTGTTTTAGTGTGGCATTATTAATTAACCCTGTGGCTCCCAGTCAGGTCCAAGCTGGAAATAGAGCCAGCCCCACTGTTAAGACCAAAGGATTAGCTGATTTGGGTTCGGTAAAGCCTGTGGGATTCACGGTGGCTGTTTGGGGATTTTTCTGTGGAGATGGAAGGTGGGAAATATCTAAAATTGAAATGACCCTGGGAGACAACTTTGGTAATTAAAGGCTCAATCTTGATTTCAGTTTACCCATGAAGTAACTATGCTAATGGCCATTGGGGCCCACCTGGTTGTCAGCTGTTGTAATGTTGAGCATCTTTGGTACTGAGATGTTAATGACTCTTTATTTAGCCTGTGGGAGCACCTACAAAAGCCAATTTTTCAGGTGGGTCTGATAAGCCATGTAGCTCCTTGGTGGGTCTGTCTGTCTGTTATTTGGGGCCCTCCTCAAACTAGGTGCAATTACTGGATGTCTGTCGTACTCGTGCCAGCGGGAGCATGGGCCAGACCTTACTTGTGGGATGCTGGTTGGTATCTGTGCTTGAGAATGCAATCTGTGCTTGGATTTGCAGGAGGGAGGTTGTGGGACAGGCTTTGACGGGGATTGGTAGAAGGATCAAGCAGTTGAGCTGTACCCATGTTACTGGGTTTAGGGCAAGGTTGGTACAAACGTTGCCTCCATACATTGCTCTGAGCCCAGAGTTGGTGTGGGAGGAGGTTGATAATTGTGTGTTTGTATTGCCGCTGCTGACTGCTGGTTAGGACCAGATTGAGCCTGTTGTGTGTCCCTGTCATATTGTACATTTGGGTTTTGCCACAAGAAGAGTCTCCCAGTGGCCCGAGGGGATGGTTTTTTTCCATTGTGAGAGTGTAAGAACCCGTTTACCTGAAAAGGCATCTCTTCTCTTGCAGGTTCTCCAGGTCAGATGAGCTGTCCCGGCACAGGCGCTCCCACTCGGGGGTGAAACCCTATCAGTGTCCTGTCTGTGAGAAGAAGTTTGCTCGAAGTGACCACTTGTCCAAACATGTCAAGGTGCATCGGTTCCCACGAAGCAACCGCTCCGTCCGCTCCGTGAACTGATTGTTCCCGCTTTCCCCTTCCCGCCCAGCCATCCTACAACAGCCGATGACAGCACTTTGCTCACTATATTTCTAGTGATAATTTATTTGTCTCCACAGAACAGTCAATGCTGTTACTTGATACCACCATGTTTGAGTGTCCCATGTCCTTTGAAGATGATTTGAGAATGAAGTTCTTTTTGGGTCAAGGGAGGGGGGTGCTTCTTCCTTTTTTTTTTTTTTTTAAAGGATGTTATTTTCCTTTCCTTCTATCTTTCCCTCCTTTGCTGCTGCTTCTTTTGGAAATTACAGTGTTTTATTTTTAGCTGTTTTCTGCTGCACAGGAAAATGTAAGAGTTGCTTGCTGCTAGTTAATTATAGCCCTGGCATTCCTAAGAGCTTTGCTCATGTACAGGCCATTCATTGTGAGTTTTTATTAAGCTGCTCTATTTGTCCAGTTTGGAAACAGCAAATTCTTTTTGAAATGAAAACAACTCCTTTGTTTTTGGGTCGCCTGAGCCAAGGATTTGTAGGGGCTGGCCATAGGAGGAGGAACAGTGGGAGCTGGGGACAGGGGGAGGCAAGGCATGGAGAGCGCTGGAATGCGCCTCTCTGCCTCTCTGACTTCTCTGGCTCACATTCACCTTTTCCTTGGCTAGGTCTATATATAAATATTTATGTATATATATTCATACATACATACATATATATATATATATATATATTTAAGCAAAGGCATATCCCAAACAAACCCGGAAGCTCAGGCTGGATGAAATGGCTTGGAGTGGGGCCTTTTGGTGTGGCTGAGCGCGTACGGTGTGCATGCTTCTCCTGTCCTGTGCTGCCGTGGGGGTGGAAGGATGCCCATGCCTCGAAGGAAACGCTGCTTTCCTTTGAGTTTGGTTCTCAGCACCCACTGTCTTTAGCAGAAGAGCTGTTGTCTAGTGTCTAAAGCAGCAGGAAGCCATTTGTGGAATGGCTGAGCTCTGTTCCTGTCTCTGCTCCTGTCCTCTTGTGTGAGCTCGGGGGAGAAACCAGAGCTTGAGGGAGAAACCAGAGCGCCAGCCCTGGAGGTGCCCAGTGGTGAGCACCACTCGGGATGCTCAGGATGCTTGGGAGCACCAGGCATCCCGACCATCCACTGCAAGTCAACACCTCACTGGTTGGAGCTGAGTCTCCACTTGTCTGCTGGTGGCAGGGTCTTGTAGGATGTACCTGTACCCAGGGGAGGGTGGGAGGCATCAAGGCCAGGTGGGACAGCACCGTGAGATCATCTGTCCAAGGGCGATCTCCAGTGCTAATCCTCTCCTGACCCACAGCCATGTCAGAGCTCCATGCAGCTAGGGTGGGCGAATGGGTGAGAACAGCAGCCAAAAGAAACAAATTTGTACGGTGGCGAAGAAGGGAATTTAAACAAATAATCAGATGGTAGCAGGCAAGTGATTTTGTTTGTGTTTCTTCTTCTTGTTTTGTTTTTTTTTTTGAACTCTGGCGATTGTAAGAAGCTTTAGAAGAAAATAGAATTCAGTAATTAGGAATGATTTTATAATGGATGTTGCATTTCCTTTCCATTTGCAGGCGGCATCTGTTTGTCTCTTTGTTGGCAAAATGGGAAATAGGAAACTGCGATAGGAAACTGCGCTAGGCAGAGCAGGGCCCCGCGCTGTGCAAGAACAGCAGGTCTAGCTAAAGCGAATGCATTCCTTTTGTCCTCTAGAAATTAATATAAATGAACTATCATCTATTGACTGGTTTATATCACATCCTATGAATGTATGTAAATAAAACTGTACATAGATGCATATCTATATAAAATATCTTTTAATAACGTATCAAAATTTGTGTAAATTGGAAACAAAAAACCTATAAAGCCAGTGTACATAAGTTACAATTCTGTATATTTTCTTTTGTTCTTCATAAAAATATATTTACTTTGACAATAAAATGAAAATGGAAATTTTAAATCCCTTCTTGAAACTATTATTCATTAATTTCCTTTGTAGCCAGCTCTGTAATCAGGACATTAGTGCTTGAAATTTTGATTCACCTGGACATAGCTTTTCAAGTGCTGGGTACCAGGGAGGTGATGGAACAGATCTGAAGTTTTTCTCATCTCAGAAAGTTCTTGGGAGGCACGAGATGTTTCAGCTCTCCCTTTGCCAGAGCCCTCACACCTCACTTGGCAGCCACACTGGGACCCGAATGCCTTCTGTGGTTTCCGACCGCTGTGGAACAGGTCTGAAGCTGTAGCAAAACTGTGGTTAATACATTAGAGCAATCAGATTTTAAGGAAATTCAAGCTCTAGTAGTTTGTGTGAAGGAAGAAGGGCTTCAGAGGCTGCTTGAGACTGTGACGGTGACTCACTGTGTGACGGAGGACAAAAAGGACTCAATTGCCATGTGCCGCAGTTCCCTTTCTTGTAAAATGGGGATAATAATGCATCATGGTGATACTATGGGACTTAATTTACATTTGTGTGATCCTTGGATGGAAGGAGCAAGCAATAGGACCAGTAGTCACAGGATTAGGTTGTGAAAGAGTCTCAGCACGGTGGAGGTCTTGGTGCCAAGGCGCTTCAGTTGGCTCTTCTGTAAATCCCATGTCTGAAAGAGTGATGTGAAGGATCTGTGGTACAAAGCATGCCTCAGGCCTGAGGAGAAGACGCCCTGTCCTGCAACAACCATTGCATCCCATTCGTAAGAACAGGGGCACGAACATGATGCTCTTGTGATCTGCAAGCCAGGACACCTCTTGCACTGCGCTTTTGGTTGCTGGGCCTCCACTGGAAGAAGAAACCAGCAACATTACTAAGTGGTTAAATCACTTCTGAGTCTCCATGGGAGCAATGGTGCAGTGGGTCCAGATCTTCTCCCGGCAAGAATCACTCTGAGACTAATGGGCACTTAGCGATTAAAGTCCCTCCCTGATGAACAGCCACCAGAAACGCCAGCTGATGAGCCGGGGATCTCCAGACCCCTGATTATTTTTCCTAGAGAACCCCTGTCAGTCCGACAAGAGGACCGAGGGATATGGCAGAGTAAGTTTTGGTTGCTCCAGGCTGTTGTTACCTTCTGAGACGTAGCCTGAAGACCAGAGTCCTAATGACAGCTGTTTTAAGAGTGATAGTCGTGTACGTGCTTTAATTAGCAAGCCTGCACCAAGAGGATCTCCGATTCCCTTCTGTTCTCACCCTATTGACATCATGCATTAAACCAGCTGCTTTACTTTAACCAGCATCTCAGTCTCCTCCCCATCTCGTCTGGAGTTCTGATATTGCTGTAACATTGGGCAATTCACCCTGCAAGACACTCGGGGCAGAAGTTGTTATTTTTCTGCAAGAGGCGATACTTAAAGCTGAAGTGCAGTAATGCAAAATGCCTGCTGTTGGAGCACAGCAGTGCAGAAATCTAACATCTAAGCTATGTTTTGACCTGGAATATTTTCCATGAAATTCCACTTACTCTCTTACTCTTTCTTTTATTTTTTTTTCTTTTCTCTTTTAAGTATGGTTTTTTGAGTGTGGTTCTGAGTGTGGGTTATGTGGGTTTTTCTGGCTAATACCTGTAAGGAAATTTAAATTTATGTAGAAGTTGCAACATTTTGCTAAAAAGAGTAGGGCCATGTTTGCTGTGAAACAAGAGTTAGTTCTGCATGAAAATTGATGGTGTTTTCAGAGATTCATCACCAAAAAAGTAGAATTCCCAAAAGAAGATTTTGATGTTTATTTTATGTGGAGTTACTGGCCTGCCTAGGGTGTGCTGATTCATGAGAAAAACATGGCCTTGCCTTAAGCCTGATTACTCTTTACCCACCTGAAGATAAATATATATTTCAGTGCTTTGATGCCACATCTGTAAATTAGTTTATTATGTCCCTGCTTCAGCAACTCTGCACGGCAAAACACAGCATGGCATCGTTAATACATATGCATAGTGCTCAGCACCATGGTTTAGTGATGTTTGGGGTTTTTTTCTATTTTTAGTTGTTTTTGCTTTTAATCAGAATTAGGTTGATGGTTGGACTAGAAGATCTTAAAGGTCCCTCCCAGCCTAGACAATTATATAATTCTATGATAAATCCCAATGACTTAAACATAAATCTCATTGGCTTAGAATAACTGAGTTTCTGAGGTGTGAGTAGACACGCGTGTAGTGTTAGAGCCTTTCACGTAATGATTGTCATCTGGTTTCTAACACTTGCAAGATCTCTTTAAAGTTTCTAAAAGGTTTTAATGGGAATTTCTGGCTGTTCATAGTCTGTTGGTGAGAGCTAGGGATGGAGGAACAATGTTACAAAAGGTGAGAAGCCATCAGCTGGGAAGGTTGTACTTGAGGCATAAGGAAGAAGAGTAAAGTGATATTTCTGTACGGTGACCTGACTTCTTGTGACCTGCGGCTAAAGGCAGAGCAGTGGAGTGATGTGCCTGAGACCACAGAGCAACACAGAGGGGAAACGGGAACAGAAGCAAGAAGTCCCAAATCTCCTTTGCCCCAGACAGTGGCACAGACCACACATCATTAACTCACAGCAGGTTACAGAATGCAAAGAGTAATAGGACACGTAAGTGAGACATCAGATAAGCAAAGAAAGGTAAAGACAGGGCATGAGATAAAGTCAGGTTGCACTGATAACAGCTGCTTTTGGAAAGGATGCCAAGGAGAGAGGAACGAGAGAGCTCGCTTGCTGGTGTGTTGCACTGGGGAGTCACCAAGGTGAAACGCTCTAAAAAGAGTCCTGCTCCCCTGACCTGTGTTACAGGGGGGCTTTTTCTCCTGGTGCTTTTGCGGGGAGCTCAGGGAGCTGCTGATGGGAAGCAAACCAGCCCATGGAGCAGGGTGGTGTGACGAAAGGTGGCAAATCTGAGAAAGAGAGCTTGTGTTTAGCCCCTGCCATGTTTGCAACAGTCCCCTGCTTCCCACCCTTCCCAGGGGGTTGTTACCACTTAAATCCTTCTGCTGGGAGCCTTCTCCTTGCCTAAATGGCCACTATATGTTTAATCCAAACAAGCAGGTGACTCCAGCTCCAAGCTGGTGGCAATAAGCCAGCGTTAATGATTACCCCGGGCCCCCCGGGTTATGTAAGCCCGCGTGTGCTGTACCATGGGCTCCCGGCTCAGACCTGCCCGCCCCGTCTGGGAGAAATACCAAGGACCTGCCAACACACAGAGAAAGCTCTTTGGAGCCAGCTGGGATTTTCCTTCTCCCCTTTTGACAGCACCTATGAAGCCCGTTATTCACTCGGTTCGGCGACTGCCGTGCTTTTGCTTGCTTGTTATTCAGAGACATTGCTTTTAAAGACTGAGTTGAGCCTAAGCTCCCACTGACTTCAGCACAAGCCAAGGACAGTGACTGCCATGCCTCTTCCAGGGGAAAAAAATTCCCAGCTAAGGCAGGAACTGCAGATCCTGATGGGTCCTTGGCTTCCCTTGCTCTTTTCTTCTGGGACATCTGTGCTTTTGTGGCTTTCAATCTCTTATCCCACAGGTTTATGTTTTGTTCTTTCTTTTTCTTTTTTTGGGGTGGGGGGTTGGGGATGTTTGAAGGTGTGTAGTGTGTGAAAAATAGATATTTTGAAGAATCTTCTAGCCTGAACATCTAGTGTGTGTTCGCATACAGCTACAGGGATGGGACTTAATGACTCTTCTAGTCAATGATCCTACATCATGAGGTTTGTAGCTCCTCAGTGCTCAGCGTTCTACAGGCCTGAGCTTTGATTTCCTCTGCCAGCTCAGTGCAGGTCTTCCTCTAGCTGGAGCTGGAGCCCATCCTTCATCTCTTGCCACGTTCCCTACCAAGTATCACTTTTCTAATGGTTTTGTAATTATGCTGGCTCAAAACCCATGAAAGTACTTGATCTACAAAGCTAAGTCTGGATGAACTCCTTAGCCCTTGGAGAAGTCTGCTGTGGTGAGTTTTCATCTGCTCACCTGTCCTGCCCCATGGAGAGTGTATGCCTTGGCCAGCATCATCCTGAGCCCCAGCTTGCTATTTAAGCATTCTGCGGTTTAGAGCAACCTCTGACAAGGCTCTGGCCATCACGAGCAGAGGGCAGCGTTTGCGTCTCTGCCAAGTGCCTCAAGCTGAAGTGTTAGGTAAAATGGGAGTGAAATACATGAATGACAAGTAACTGTTGGGAAAGCCAGCTCTCCTCTTGCACTGGTGCATGTCTGGTAACTCTTCCCCTGCTCATCTTGGAGACATATCTACCCTGAAAGGGAGAGAAAATTGAGGTCAATGTGGCCTATAATTCTTTGGAAGGGAGCAGAGCAAGGAAAACACAAACTGAAGCAAGTTACGGTGTAACAGGCACTGTTCTGTCCTTTCCAGCACAGATAGAGTGACAGGCTCTTTTTGCAGAAAGGGCTCTGCTTGTTGGGCAGGAGGAGGGTGGTCTGAGCAAGCAGCCAGCATCAGAGCAGCTGCTCTGCAGGGCTCTGGGGCAACAGCAGCTTTATGGCAGGGGGCTTAGTGACCACTAGTCATAGGCTGTGCCTTGGACAGTTGGCAGGCATAATGAGAAGGGCCTGAGATTACTCACTGTTGGTCCTACAGGTCCCCTTTCTTGTATAAGGATGTCATTTTTCTCCTCCTGACTCCATAGCTGATTCTTGGAGTAGCCTTGAGTGAGTCTTAGCACTTCCCAAAGCAGAAATGTTATTTATCCATATGACCCAAATACCAGGAACCTCAATAATTACAAGGCGCTCTGAGATCTTCAGTGGAAACATCTATCCAGGAATTGTTTTGCATGTGATTGAGGGTGGAGTCCACAAAAAGAAAGGTACAAAGAATTACTGTTCTGTATCTAAAAAAGTCTCTGGCATCTGCCTGTCCTATTGAGTCCAGCGGGCACCAGCTTAAGCCCTGCTAGTTATTCCAACATTATGGTTGCAAATACAGGGATTTGGCTATTGGGCTGAAAAGCATCCAGGCATTTAGTAAACTCGCCTTCCATAAGTGAAGG